TTTTTTTTTTCCTGTTTGAGCCAGAATGAGCTTTCTGATGAGTAAATTTGAAATGCAATTTAAACTTCGAGCAGTTGAATGCACAGTCTGATTAGAGTTGTTATAAATTAAATGAACCGTGAGCTCTGTTTTTGGCTTGTTAAGGCACGAGCTGTGAGCTCGAGCTTGTTTAAGCTACAAACAATGTTCGAACATAAACGAACACGAGGCACAGTTCGACCTTCGGGTAACTCCACTTATTTAATCCTTCCAGAGTGAAGCTAATCAGATTCTTGATATCATGAGGCACAGTTCGACTTTTGGGTTCTCTACCAATGGCTCCAGCAGCGTGGACTATCTCGTCACATAAGACTCAACAGCTCCACTTACCTTCCTGCGCTTGTTTAATGTGTCCTGTTGTGGGGCCGTGATTGACAATTTCTTCCTGGTTGGCGAAGCCCTAATTATGGCATTTTTCTGCATGAACGGGTGAATCGTGGCCGTCTGTCTCGTTTCTGAAAATATTGTCCAACAACTCAGTCGGCTCTCCATCAATGCAAAGCCTCATCATCAGCATCATCATCCTAAGCAGTTTCGAAATTCCTCTTCTTTGCTATATGGCGCTTGAAATAGCCAACATCCCGGTTTCCTTCAACATGAAAAGTGAACGCTTTTTCCACAACAAGTCCGCACGTTTATAATCTGAAGGTCCGCATGATGGAGGACCAAATGCAGCACATTTCTTCTGCTCAGGCTATAGTCTGCCAGAGGAATGCCTTTACAGGGGATTTTCATGTGCTTTATATTCATTATCAATTTTCATGTGCTTTATATTCATCATCAACACAAACCCTGTACCAAAATGTGGAAAGAATAAAAGCGCCACCAAAGTTTTCCACAAGTGATCCCAAATTTCCCTAACCGAAGGCAATACTAGACTCGAGCGTTTTTATAATCGAGCCATTGGGATGCTTAAAAATTGCAGAACTTAGGGTTAATGAAAAAAGCGAGCGAATAAGTGGCGGTAGGGAAAATGAGCAGCGACACAGCGGTTGATATTGATTGAATATTGCAGCAAAATTGCAAGAGATGATAATCCTGAGCTCTTCTTTTTCTTGTTTAACGTTTGGTGATATTTATGAGGTT